GGGAGATTCCCATCAGCCTCGGGGGTGGGCGAGCCCAAACCTAGGAAAGGGCCCACAAAGCCCCGCACGCTCTGGGCCGGCTGACCGCCGGGCCCGCCCCCACGGCGCCCCAGCCCTGGCCTGGACCTCAGGCAGAGACGCCCAGACCGGCCTCGGCTGGACCAGGCGAGACTCCCTCCAGAACGGCTTTCACTGGTCTGCACCCCATCTTCGGGGCCCAGAGCGGGACTGCGGACGGGGCCTGTGGGCTCTGTGTGGACGTTGAGTACAGCACGGCAAGCCGAAACCCGTTTAATAAAGTCGGTCTGGGGCACCTGGGTGGCGCAGTCGGTTAGGCGTCCGACTTCAGCCAGGTCACGATCTCGCAGTCCGTGAGTTCGAGCCCCGCGTCGGGCTCTGGGCTGATGGCTCGGAGCCTGGAGCCTGCTTCCGATTCTGTGTCTCTCTCTCTCTGCCCTTCCCCCGTTCATGCTCTGTCTCTCTCTGTCCCAAAAATAAATAAACGTTGAAAAAAAAAATTAAAAAAATAAATAAATAAATAAAGTCGGTTCTGTCCCCCCGGCCCCCGCCCCAGTGATCCTCCAACGTGGCCTGAACAGCAGCTTCGAGGGTGGAACCCTGTGCCCCCTGGGGGCTCCCTGACAAAATGTGAGCCAGTTCCCTCCCTTGTCGTGCGAGTATACCTCTGGGCACTCAGGAGCCCCCGCCTGGGCCCCCACACTCTCAGGACGGAGGAAGCAGCGAATCCGTGAGCTGGCGATAATCACAGTTGTTACTATCACATTACATTAAAAGCAAAAGCGAGGAACTTTCCAAACCCCTCATTTTCCAAGTATCTGGACTGGCTGTGCCACTCTCTGTGCTGAAGGTAATCTACGAGTCTCATAGCCTCAGGGTGGGTGTGTCCCTGCCCGTCTCCTCCCAGAGCTGGTACCTCGCTTCGGCAGTTTGGAATCAGCCACGTGGGAGGGAGTATTTACCCACAGAAACTGGCAGGCCCTCCATCGGGGTTTTCTTCCCCAAAGAGCCAGGAGTCGGTTACCAGCACACCAATGAGCCATCCGGGCCTCGGGCCACACCCGTTGGGAGGCTGCCTTTCCGAAAACAGGTGTTGTTCGTGAAAGGTAAACCGAGGCACGGCCAAACCAAAAGTGGGTCGGCAGGCTCCCTGGAGCCACAGCAGAGCAGGGGAAACACCAGACCGGCTGTGGCCCCAGGAGCTGCCTGGCCAGCTGAGATCACTTGCCCTCCGGTTCGAGCGCAGGACCCTGGCTCCACCGGCTGCCTGTGGAGCACCGGGCCTCAGAGCCTCCAGTCTGGCGTCCTGGCTAAGTGACCGTCTCACTGCTCCCCAGGCTGAAGCAGTCTCCAGACTCACTCAGCCCAGGGGAAGGGAAGAGCTCAGAGTGTTTGACTTCTGAAAGTTCCAGCATCTAGGAAAGGCCAGAATCATCCCTTCAACGGCCCCCCACCGCCTCCAGGCTCCCTGGGTCCACTCACGCCCAGCAGGAAGGCCACCAACCTGGGAAAAAGCTGGGCCTGACAGGGACCAGCGGGTGGAGGGGTTGGGTGGCCACAGGGACCTTCCTCCCTCTCAAACTGGTCAGCGCTCTGCCCAGCCAGGACGCGGGGGCCTCCGACAAAAAGACTGGCAGGTGGGGTGGCCGTGGCCCCCCTCCCCACGGCCTCCAGACAGTCTCTGGCCCACAGAGGAGTTCTGTGTGGCCTCTGAGGGGGGCCAGCGCCCACACCCTCAGACTGGCAGCCTGGCAGGCCCCGTGGTCCTTGGAAAGAGAGGCTGGGGCCAGGACAGAGCAGAGCTGTGGAACTAAAAGGGCACAGGCCACCGTGGGCGGCGAACAGGGAGGCAGACAAGGGAGCTGGGCTGCTGGGCACCGGGAGTCGGGACACAGGGACTTGGGCGCCAGGGCCAGTGGTCCGTGGGCTTGAGAGCCGGGGGCTGGGGGCCAAGGACGGGCCGACTGGAGGTCTGGGGGACACAGAGTTAAGACCATGGGCCACCAGTGGTGTGGGTGGCCGGCAGGCTGCAGGAGCACCAGAGAGCTGCGGCCAGGAAGCTCAGAGCTGGGGGGCTGCAGACTGAGGGACTGGGGGGGCGGGGGGCCCCGGGCCCAGAGCGGCCACCCACAGGCCGTGTGTGCAGGGTCAGGACGCTCAGCCTCGGAATGGAAGAGGCCAACAGCCCAAACTCTATACAGCCCTGCAAAAGCCACGAGCGTCTCACCCGCAGCTAAGCAGGACCTGAGGGCTCTAGCTGTGTGACCTTGGGCAAATCACCCGACGGCTCACTGCAGAAGCAACCTGCCCGAGTCGACTTTCAGCGTGGAGACTCGCTGGTGTAATAACCCCGCCCGTGAGGCTGCTGAGGCGGCCGGGGAAGTGTGCAGGCCGCCCAGCCGGGGGCCCCTCCCTGCCTGCTCTCCACGGGGCCCTGTGCTCCTTGGGCCCGTGGGTCAGCTCAGTCTGTCCCAGGCAGTCTGCTGCCCCTGCCTTCATGGGAACGACGGCTTGGTGGCCTCTCTTCTTCTGACTCTGTGAAGCCCACTACAGATCACACAGGGCACCCCCAGATCACTGGTCCCTGGTCCCCGCCCCTAACCCTGCTGTTTAATACTCAGCCCGGGAGTGAGGGTGAGGAAGGCGGGGTAGGAGGGGAAGGGGGGGGGAGGGAGACCCGGCCAGCCGGGAGGGGTCGGGCCCTAGAGCGCCATAAGGGAAGCAGGTCGGGGCGCCCCTCCTGGGTCCAGCTTGCCGGGGGCAACCTGGAACTGTCACCTCAGTGAAACACTAGGCTCTCCTCCCTCCCCTGGGTCACCTGTACGGGCCCTTAAATATCCACCCCGGCGGCAGGTGGGCCAAAACCACTGCCCAGGTGCAGCCACGGGTCAGCAGGCTCTGGTCTGGGGGGAGCAGCAAGGAGCCGAGGGCGGGTGGTCCCTCTGTGGGCATGCCACCCTGAGTCTCGGAATTGGGGATTCTAGGAACTTCGGTGGCCCATCTCCCATATGGGCCGACTGAGTCGCAGAGAGACTAACCTGGGGCCCGACGTGGAGGCGCCTGAAGCGCACAGTGGGCCCACCCCAAACCCACCTTCTCCACCTGCCCAGGGCCCGGCCTGGCCTGCAGGTCCCCCCCGGCACTTGTGGCACCTGCAGGGCCTGGGACAGAGGAGACGCCTGATGGAACTCAGACCTCAAGATGGCCAGAGGCACGGTTCCCCTGTTCTGGGAGTCCAGACCCCCTGACCTGGAGCCCTGAATCCCAGCCAAGTCTCAGGTTGTCGGGCCACAGAGTTGCCAGGTGACAGCTGCCCACACAGGCCAGCGCAGGTCAGACAGAGCAACCAGACTCCACACTGGGCCGGGGGAGGCCCTTCAGACGCCCCTGGACCGCCCTCTTCTCCCGGCCCGAGTGTGAGGGGCAGAGGGCGTCCAGAATGCAACACGTGCCTTCCACAAAACCTCCAAGAGCGTATGGGCCATGCCAGGTGTGCGACGTGGGGACAGACAGACGATGGAGTCCCCCAGACCTCCCTGCTCCGTCTGTGAGACGGGGCCAGGTGCGGCTCCCTTGGCCGGTGCCCTCACAACGTTGGCCCAGGGCCCGCCCCCGCTTGCAGCTGGGAGCCCCCCTCCCCAGTCCCACGGGGAGGCCCTTCTGTATGCCGGAGCAGGTGGGGCGCTGCCCCCAGAGGCCCCACACGAGGCACCCTTGCTCAGATCCAAATCTCCCTCCCACCTCCTCCCCTAAACACGTGCTGTCTCTCACAAGCTGGATGAGGGACCAGTTTTCTGAATGGAGGTCGGGGTGGAGGGGAAGGGGCCTGGGCCACTGGCCAGTGGGGTCACCCCGGCAGGCTGCTCTCCTGGGGGACAGTAGCACCCACTTCTCGGGATGGAAAGAACCGAATTCGACAAGTCCGGTAAAATGTTCCATCCAGGGCCCTGACTCAGGAAAAGTCACCCATCACGCTGTCTGGTGACGATGACTCCTTGTCAACCGGACCTCACGCCTGCTGCCTCCAGAGCTGGCGGGAACAGGCCGGACGGACGGGGAGCGGCCTTTGGTGTCGACAATAAACAGAGCCCTGCTTGCCGGGCCGGGGTCTGAAAGCCCCCTCCGGAAGAAAGCCTGGAGCAGGGCCGCGCTCTCGCGGGGGAGCGTCACCCACCAGGGGAGGCGGACAGGCTGCAGACAGAGACCTGGTGGAGGGGGAGCCGGGCCGGGAGGCTCACAGGCCTGAGGGGCCGATCCCAGGCTCAGCCCCGAGCTCCGGGGACGTGTTATTTATGTAAGCCGCGGTTTTCTAGGCGCCTAGTGATTTTCACCTCCCTCCCCGTCAACCAGAAGACAGGTTTTCACCTTAAAGTCGTAGCTGATGAGCAACCGAAATAGGAGGAGAGGTGTCTAAATGAAAGTACTTTCGCAAAGGGGCTTGACTGACATGTGACGACAATAAAGTCGGGATGAGGTCCGGGCTATCAAAGCAGCCCCAGGCGGACCGGCGAGAACGGGCACGTCCCCAGGAAAGGCCCCCTCACTCCTCGCTTGTCTGTCTCTCAGGGTCCAAAAGCTCGAACCAACAGGCACAGTGCTCGCTGTTTCAGGGTGTTTCTCTGTAAACACTTTCTAAGTCCCAACAGAAGTTTGATTACAGTTAGGGTAAGACGGAAGACGAGAGGAAGAAACCATATTATTCAGCAATTAGAGTCGCTTTCCTCTCTGCACATGGCATTTCACTGCATTGCTTATGCTCTCCCCCCCGTGGGTCCTGACAAATCCCCTGGCCCACGTCCTGCAGTCCCTAGGCAAGATGCCCCTCCGCGGTGACAGCGTGCTTGCGTGGAAAGCGCGACCTCGGGGGTCGGGCCTGGTTTCAGCAGCTCTGTGGCTCAGTCACTGTGCTGCCTTTAGAGAAAGAGCCGACCTGGAAGGAAGAGTTCTGCTTCCTCGCCTGTGAGCGAGGGGAGGGAACCTACCTGCAGGGCTTCCGTGTGAATCCGAGGGTATTCAGGGCACGGGCATCAAGCGACAGCCGTGGGCGAACGTCGGGCACACACGTGGCGCTGTGTGGAATAGCATGCAGTGCTCAGAGGCAGCCCCGTGGAGGAGCGGTCTCAGCTCAGAGGCCCCCACTGCCCCACAGACCCGGCCCCTCCGTCCTGGCCTTCAACAGACAAGGGGGCCTCCGCCTCGCTCCCTGAATGCATTCCTGAGTCTGGGATCTCACGGGGAAGTCTGGAAGGGGTGGCTCACTGGGTGGCCCACTTGTAAATCTTGAACAATGACATGTGGCTCAGTTTCCCTCCTACAAGATGGACTGAGCCACCTCCCGAAGCCGTGGGAGGCTAATGAGTCAGTGTTTGTAAAACGCTTTGCGGATCAGATGAAAGGGGCTCCGGGAGGGGGAGGTGCCCGTCGGGGGTGATTATCGTGGGCGCACAGGCACGCTCACCCCTGCTCCCTGCGCCCCACACGCAGATCTCAGCACGGGGCCCAGGCGGTGGGAGCCCTCCCACCTCGCACCTGCTCCCGGTGGGGCCATGGGGCCTGGCCCGAGGGTGGCCAGGAGGGCCCTGCGCACAGCTGTGCGGTGGCTGCTGCCCCCAGAGCCGGGGGGGTGCAGGGAGGTTGGCCGCGGGGAGGTTGGCTGCGGGGAAAGAGCGGGAGGTGGCGGCTCCCCTAACCCCCTGTGTTGGGCCACGTAACCCCCTGCCTCGTTCAGAAACCAGTGCACAGGGGCTCTCTCTGCACAGATCCGTGGGCAGGACACCCTTTCCACGGGCCGCCTGGGCCGGTGCTATTCCAGAAGCGTGTCTGAGAGCAGGTAAAGGAAGCGCGTCCCACTGCAGCCAGAGGGCCGCGCGCCTTCCCACCAGACACACGCCCTGTGGTCGCGGCAGCAGGAAAGGCCTCAGGAGTGGCATGGGGTCACAGCGGTCCTCCAGCCGCCCAGACCTGCACCCCCGCTCGGCTCCGAGGGGTCCGCCTGCCGCCCCGGACCTGCACCCCAGCTCGGCAACGAGGGCCCCGGGACAGTCGGACAGGTGGCCTGGGGGGAGGTGAGCGTGAGGGCCAGATACAGGAGCGGCGTCGAGTCTTGGCCCTGAGAAGGTAAAAAAAAATACCTTCTGAGAGGGTTTTATTTGGGTCCCAAGCTGAAATGACAGCAGTCTGGATTGCTGGGTTGAGGTTCAGGGTGGAAATTACATTTTATTGTTCCTTTTTAGGCGATCGAATGCAGACCCGGGCAATTTTAGGGTTACACCTGCAGTTCCCCTTGGGTCTGTACTGGACGCTCTGACCTCAAGAAACTGCCCGGACTAGTGTCAGGACTGGGCCTTGCCTCCCGGGTTCCGTAGGGAATGAACGAATGAATGAATGAATGAATGAATGAATGAATCCCCTTGGGGAGAACCAAGCTCAGAGAGCAGAGGACCCACGGGGCAGGTCACAGGTACCTGATGCATAAAGATAGCCCTGTCCTTTGGATTTTATTTTTTTATTTCATTTTTTATTTTTTTTTTATTTTCTTTTTAACGTTTTATTTATGTTTGAGACAGAGAGAGACTGAGCATGAACGGGGGAGGGGCAGAGAGAGAGGGAGACACAGAATCGGAAGCAGGCTCCAGGCTCTGAGCCGTCAGCCCAGAGCCCGACGCGGGGCTCGAACCCACGGACCGCGAGATCGTGACCTGAGCTGACGTCGGACGCTTAACCGACTGAGCCACCCAGGCGCCCCGTGGATTTTAAAACTTAAACTGCGCTATCGGCATGGACACTGCCCTAAACCAGCCCATTTCCTGGAGAGCCGCCCCCGCCCCCTCAGCTCCCGCCCGGCAGAGGCTTGTCGTCCAGCAGGAAGGCCCCCGGTGAGGTCAGAGGCTTGGGGCCACTTGCACAAAGACCACAGAAACGCCAGATGCCTCAGAGAACCCACCTGCCCGGCTGCTTTCCGGAACTCCGTTCTCCAGCCCCAGGGCCGCGTCCTGCTTCTGCGGCCAGAGGGACCCGGGCTCACCACCCACGGGCAGTAACCCAGAGCCCCTGGCCCATCCATCACTGTCAGGCCCCGAGACCGGCCTGGCTGCCACTGCTTCTGTCGCGCACAAGGCGTGAGGAGAGGGGTCGCCTGGGGCCAGCGCTGGCAAGGGCGCTGTGGGTCCCACCGAAGGGGCCAAACGCACACTGGCTTGCTCTGACTGGAAGCCCAGCCTCCTCGGGGTCACACGGCCCGACCGGGCTGAGACAGGGGCTCCTATCCCCGTGCGGCCCCAGCTGGACAGAAGCCCTGAAGTGGCGGGTGCTGGGACTCAGGCCTGCCTCCGCCTTCACCCTGGTGACCAGGTGGCAGCCCGTCTCGGAAGCACCTGCTAAGGGCCAGAACCCCTCAGGGGCCATGAGGCGGGACCCCACTTCTAGACCACTGGAGTCCCTCTGCGAGCTGCCCTGTGGGCCGGCCTGGGGACGTGGGAGGCCCCTGCCCCAAGGAGTAGTGCAGGATGGCTCTGGTCCCCATGAAAGATGAGGCCTCACTCCGCTTTGGGGCCATGGAGGCAGGAACAGCTTGAGGCCCACCCACCCCAGGTGGGGGAACAGCACAGTCCTCGAACTGCTGTGGCCGTGGTCCTGCCCCAGGCGGGGGGACAGGCCTGTCCTCGAGCTGCTAGGACTGTGGTCCTGCCCCAGACAGGGGGACAGCTCTGTCCTCGAGCTGCTACGGCCGTGGTCCTGCCCCAGGCAGGGGGACAGCCCTGTCCTCAAGCCGCTATGGCCATGGTCCTGCCCCTGTCCATGGGTGATAAACCCAGACCCTAAAGATCTACACCTACGGGGACCCTGACAATGGTCTGACCCGACTGCTCCCTCCATAGATGGAGAAACCAAGGCCCAAAGAGAGCTGGGCCTCTAGGCTTGCCCTGATTCCTGACCCTAAGCAGAAGCTGAGGGGCACAAGCATTTATCAGACTCCCTGTGGCTGACTGCCACATCCCTAAGACACAGAAGGGAGATGTCATTCCAGCACAGGTGAGCATGTTAAGGCCTCCTGCTGGGCTGGCTGGACGTCGGGGGTCCTGAGTCTCTCCCGCACCCGTTGGGCAATGCCCCCTGCCAGGAACAGCAGTCACTCGAGGACAACCCTTATCTGGGGGCCCCAGTATGTCCCCCATGCCCCAGGAATGGAGAGGAACGTTGGCTGTCCTTGGACAGCACCCCGACTTGGAGTCCTGAGTGTGTACTGTTGCCCTTGCCAAGACCAAGCCCTCCCCAGCCTGCGCGTGGCCTTGGAGTGGCCAGCCAGTGTCAGGCGGGGAGGAGCCTCAGAGGTGATTCAGCACAACATTCCCATCCTGTGGCGGGAAACGGAGGCCCAGGAAACAACAGGGACTTGTCGGAGGTCACACAGGAGCCGGCGGCCCAGGTGGGTCCGGGACACCGAATCCAGGACCTGCCACACGGCCTACTGTGCTTTCCCCTAATCATCGGCAGGACAGGGAGACGGGGCCATGTCGCCACGGGACTGGGCGAGCGGATGACTCTGCTGGGGCTCCCGTGACGAAACCCTGCAGACGGGGCCACTCAAACCACAATTCCTTTCCCCCCCAGTCCCGGAGGCTGGAGGCCGTGGGGCTGGTTTCTGATGAGACTCTCCGTCTCGCAGGCCCTTCTCACTGCTGTGTGTTCACGTGGCCCGACCTCTGTGCACCCACACAGTGCAGTGGGGGTGCTCTGTGGGTCTTTGTCTGATAGGGACACTGGTCCCACTGGGTTGGAGCCCCACTCCGTGACCGCATTTAACCTCAGTGACCCCCTAAAAGTCTATCTCCAAAGACAGCCACACTGGGGCCTGGGGTGGACTTAACTCAGTCCAAGGCAGAGCATCAGGTGCTGGAATGACTCCTTCCAGGAAAGTTCCAGAGTGTTGGGCCCGCATTGTGAGGGTGGGAGGGCAGGAAGAGTCGCCCGGCCTGCCCCTGGGAGCCGCCCGTCTGCTTCCCGGATGGTCACGGGACTCGTGGGCACCCAGGAACTGGATGGGATGCCGCACGGGCTGACAGTGTCTCAGCAGAGGAGGAGTCGGGGGGCCCTGCATGGCTGCGGAGACGAACACGGAGGTGGGGGGGGGGGGGTGTCCGTGCCACTCGTGTGTGAGCCCTCTGTGCATGCCCCTCAGGACGATCCCCATGTGGCCCCCGCAGCCCGACGTCCAAGCAGGCACCGACACACAGAAAGCCACTGGTCCCCTGCGTCACCACCTCCCTCTGGGCAGGGGTCTGATCCACAGTGGGGCCTCCCAACCCCGGGTCTAGTGCCCCTCCCCAGCTTCACCCCCCCAATCCCAGGAGCAGCAGGTCCCGGGGGGGAGGGATGAGCTCCCAGATCCAGCTGGGCGGCCCACCCGGGCTGTTCCTGGGCTGATACTTGAGCTCTGGACTGAGTTGTTTTTTCTCCACCAAGAAATCCTGGCAGAGGCCACAGAAAAGCCGAGACTCACCCCAGGCCAGAGCCAGGAGGCCCCGGGATAACAGGTCATGCTAGGGTGGCTTCCTGCCGTCCCCAGCCAGCTCCTGAATGAAATCAGGCTTGGAGAGACTCTCGGGTGTCCCAGCTGGGCCCTCAGCCACCACCAGCCCGGAGGGGCAGGTCCTCGTTGAGAAACACACACCAGAGACCAGCACCCGGGTTCAGACCAGGTTCTGGTCTTCTCTGCAAGACGGAGCCTCCCATCCATCTTGAGTGTGGGTGAGTTCACCACCGAGTGAGGGGCACCCAGCAGGTGCTCAGTAAAGTGGCCCCCAGCCCGATGTCTGCCAAAGGCTTGTGGGGCCCTCAGTCAGTTCTGCGGAATGATCCCTGGTGCTGGGCACCCCTGACACCCGCACAGCAGAGAACCTCAAGCCCCCAGCTGGACAGAGCCCCCAAGGCTGAGGCAGGTGGGTGCCGGGCCTCTACTCCCTCATGCCCTAGGGAGTGAGTGTGAGGGCAGGAAGAGGAACCAGACAGACTGTCCATCTATCCCCACTCTCCCTGGGAACTAACCCTGCACAGCCACTCAGCCACATCG